GGGGGAATCTTAAAAACAGAAAAAGTGACTTTGGTCAAAAGGTTAGCTCCCATGACAATACATCATGTACTAAAATCATGTGTTTGTGGGGAACTGTCTCAGAATGAATTCCAGAGTAATGTTATAGTATTGATAATAAACTGTGCTGAATCTATGTTTGTATAATACAGTTGATAATATGGATGTTTACCTTGGTGTGGGTGATAATGACAGCAGTCTCTGCTGAGTCATTGTTTGAGATGTGAACAATAGCATCTATCTGTTCCACTTGGGTGAGGAAAAGAGGCACATAATGGCTCACATGGACTAAGAATACTAATAAATATAAGCAAGTGAGTAGTCAACTGTCATCTTGCTTTAAGTTTTGTAATGATGACACACTAATGCTGCTGTTTTCAAGGAATACATTTTGTAGTGTTGTGGTGGGAGATTTTCAGTGCTGACATAAAAACTAGCACTCGGAACTTTTCTGTCTCACCGTCTGGGCCTAAATCTACAACATCTCGGAATCTAAAACAGATTACAGTCCATGCCGGCTTTAAGCACGCCGGCTTAAAGCACGTTTCGGACTCAAGAACGCCAAACGGCTCTTACCGAATTTTTGCTATAAAAATTACACGCCTTTAAGCACGGTAACTTCGGCTTCAAGCACGCTTCATTTACAAGACAGTCAATATTTTTATGATGACCTATCGAAGTTTGAACAGTCTACACCGCAGCAGTGGAGTGTGTCAAGAGAAACACAAAGAACGCAAGTGATGGAGACACGCACTCACACACACACGCAGAGAGGAAGGCAGATGCACACAGCCGCACGCGCGGACATAGGATCTAGCCTAGGCCTAGGGCAAAGCTACACACGACCCCCAAAAAAATGCAAAGAGAGTCGGGGAGACGAGAAAGGGAGGCTGGCTGCGATTTCACCTTTGACCCTCGCTATCCATTAATCCTGATTGTGTATCACGCGCGAGGTGGGATGAAGGCGGTGGTATGAGTGGCACAGCGGGCAGTGGTACGCAAAGCCGCAGTGTGTAGGCCTAGTGTGCTGTATCATGACTGGCCGTCTAAATTAAGTTTTCATTCCCCATTCGACCACAAAACAAAAACAAACAAGCAAACAAAAACTACCATGGCGGGTGTCTAAATAACAGTGCACACTTTAGCGGGACCCCTATAGGCCCTATACTTACAAACAAAGAGAAATAACACTGGAAATTTTCTACGTGAAAATCTCTGGATTATGTCTACTTCGCACTCAAGCACGTTTCGGCTTTAAGCATGCTTAAGCTTTCTCCCGACAACCGTGCTTAAAGCCGGCATGGACTGTACTGTTATGAAACTTGAAGAAAATAGGCTCAGAAATGCAACAGACAAAATGTGAAAAAAAAATAATTCAGTTGTCTGTAGCATTGTGGAAGTATTACCCATACTGCTTCACTTGTGATATGTACTTGATGTGAATGAAGTACCTCGGTACAGCTGAATAGAAGGCTTTTTATTTTCAAATCAGCTGAACGGAATTGTTATGTAATATGCATGCATTGTTACCAGATATGCCAATTGTCTAATGTAAAAATGCTGATGATTTTTTCATGTTAGTCATGAAAAATTTTTAACTTTTCATTTTGAACTCAGATAATAAAATATAAAATAGCACTACTTGTTTTCTGTTGCCTCTCACTCAAACATGTTTTTTTTTTATCTACACTGCCTACTTGTGTTAATATGGGCGTCACTTTTTTTCTGGACCTACATTGACCAAGACTCACCTGTCAACGACGAGGAATCTGCTGTTTTACTAAATGTGAAGCGTACTGACAAAATGAGTTATCTTCTCGGATTCAAGCCGTAAGGAAATAGATACATCGTACTTATCGCTGAAGTTTTTACAATTTATAAATAGGAAATAATGAAAGGCATGTTGTACTTTAAGAATATGGCATCAAAAGAAAAATCTTCAAATTTGACCCCCGTGTCGATTTTTGGCCAATATCTCTATTTGTGGAATGCGAGAAGTAACTCATTTTGTCAGCACGTCTCACAAATGTTTATTACTTTCCGGACCTTTGTTCGATACTGTAGTTGAACTCATTAACCTATAATAACTCAGCAGAGCTACACTTCTCCCTCCAAGACCTAACATTGACAACATACTCTATAGAATATTACAGCAACTGCAGCAAACCTGCACTTATCACTACATGGGTAGAAGGGCGAAGGCCCAGTTGTTGCTGGATCGATAACAACAGCAGCATAATAATAACTTAGCTATAAAGATGAATAAAAAGGGAGTCCACAGTCTTGTAGTTTAGGCCTAGTTACAACTGTTTGTACTGTTTGAACTGAGTCAACAGTTTCTCTCCCTTTCACTGACAAATACACAAATTGAAGCTGAGGGTGTCAGTTTCAGTTTGATAACTTTTAAACTTCAAAGCCAAAAGAAGAAAAAAACAACAATAACTAAATGATCCCCTTCCATACATGATAGAGAGCAGATCCTTTATTTTTAAATCTCTCCACTCTTGTATTAAGAACAGATTTAAATGTGCATGCCACCATCACTGTCCCCGAGTCCCATGCCTTACTGCACAGCACACCCTGACTGAAGTCACCAGCAGTTAGGGAGAGGAAGAAATACACACTCAGCTGTCTGACACCTCTGACATAGCACTATGTTTTATTTACCCCACTGAACAGCTGGTCAGAACACATGATAGAAAACCAACTCTTTAAAAAATAACTAACGCATGAAGTGAGTGTGACTGAAGTTTATTTCAAAGGACTCTTATCATTTATCATTAAAAATACTTGTAGTGACAAGATTTCAGTGATGTCACAAACTTCATTGAAAATTAAAATAATTACAACACACATTAACAGGACAATTAATACAACTTCTATCACCACTTGAAGAAAAAAAATATAATAGCTTAGCCAGAAACCATTAAATTAAATCAAGCATGGGCAAGAATGTCCAAATGACAGGCCAGAATAAGCCATTTCGAATATTTCATGGGCCAAAGCAAAAGACAATTGGGTGAAATCGGTTGAAATAAAAAAATTAGACAAAACACACAATTTAGTGTGTCACTCAAGGTCATTTCATGGGATAAAATATTAGATCCATTGCTGACATTGGGTCACAAAAATGGACTCTAATTTTCAAGACCAACACTTTTGTTTTTATCAATTATAAACCCATAACAGGCCACATTCACTATTAATTACTGGGTTGCAGGTTTCAAAATACTGAAATTGCTTGTGGATTGGATCTGGCCTGCAAGCCATAGTTTGCCCATGTCTACATTATTCAATAAAATTCTGATAAAATAAATAGTGCTTTTGTACTCAGGAAAAAGACTGTTGCTTCCCTGCTGAAGAAAGACTAACTTTAGTCACCACAACAGTAAAAGCTTCTATTTATTCCAAGTCCTGTGACCTTTTGGTCACACTCCACTCCATATATATATATTATAAGACAATAAAAAAATGTATCGAGTACAGGGGATAAAATCAGTGGCTGAACCCACAAGTTTTCTGAGCTTGAACACTGTTTCACATAGTTCAAGTTGCAAAGCAAGCTTCTCAGTTGTGTATTCTAACACAGAGACATGTTTTCCAACATGCACAGATGACATTATGTCTGCTCAAAAATTTGTCAACAGAATCTGACAGCATCAGCTCTCCTGACACGCCAAACTAAGGCCAGTCATAAGCAGCTGTCTATGAATGCAAGCCTTGATATAATATATTTATTTCCCCGCAACTTTTTAAAATACACCAGCCAACCCAGTTGAAAACCATTTCATTAAGTTCATAGGACTTACAAGGAGGAAACATTTTCAGAAAAAAAGGGCTGAAGAGAAAACAACAACCAAAAACATACAAATCTGAGCATGTTTCACACAAAAACTGCACTTAAAATTGAACATCCTTCACCTAAGGAAACCACATCCTTTGCATCCTAAGAATCATTGAAAAATAACCACCAAAAACAGAAAGAAAAAAGATAAATTGATTTGAGAAATAAAGCATTCTTTCTTTTCACTCATCTTTATCAACACATTTTCTCTCCATAACGACAACACAAATTGCATTCAGGCATCTACATCTATGAAAAATAAAGTCACAAAAGTCACTGTCAAGGCAGTCTAAATCATTTAGAATTCAGTCATTATTCATGACAGATGTAGCAATTGCCCAAAACAAAAATTGTAAATGTACAGAACCGCACCTTGCATACTCACTACCAGCCAGCATTCCCACGAGTGCACTGTCTGTCCGAACACAATACTCAAAAAAAAAGTTTTAAATACACACATAAGATACACACATACAACACAGTAAATATAGATTTGATTTGTTTTACAGTTTGACAGGCAAAGATACGTGACATAGGGATATCATGCTTGTTGTGATAAGCGTCTTTATCTCCTCACTATTATTATGTAGAACAAACGCCCTTAAAGGGTTCGAAAACTTATGATGATCAAAACTACATGACAAAACTAAGGTGAAATTCACATGAATCCTGGGCACTGCACATGTCCTCTGCATCACAAGGCTAAAAAATTTCAGGTCAAATTTAGGAAATGACAGACCACCAGAAAATGATCTTCATGTGTCAATGACAATCTTCTACAGTCAGATGACCTTAAGAAAAGATTAAATGATCCCTGTAAGTACACAAAATTAAACCTATGCAGCCCCCTTCTTTGGCTTACAATACTGAACAAACACCCTGTGTCAAAAACAAATTATCTTCCCCTAAAAAAACTACACCAAAAAAACAACAAGAAAAAAACCCAAACAAAAAACAAAACTACACCAAAAAGAAATCGCCCTTCATAGTTATCCCCTGACCAGTAAACAACCCCCCCCCCCGTCATTATTTCACAAAAAAACAATACACTACACACCTCATCTTACTAATACAACAAATTAATCCTGCGTCTACAACACAAAACACCCTTTGAAAAAACACAAATTGACATCAGCACAAAATCCATTGACCAACACACACACCGCCACAACAGCCCAACCCACTCTTGTCTCACACCATCACAGACACACCACGATACAACATCACGCTTCAACGCCACAGCAGTCTGCCGACACAATTATCTGTCCGTGAAGTTGAACATGTTGCCAAACTTGCCAGAAGCCCCCTGTTGGAACTGTTTCATCATACTCTGTAGGCCTTGCATGCCACCTGTAGAACACACCGTAGGAAAAAAAAAGTTTTAGTTTAGTTTAAGTAAGAGTTTTACAACACTTACAACTCAATAAGGTCATGTAAGTGCCAAAGATTAGAAGTGTTACAAGGGATTAACAAACCCAAAATAAGAAGGACAAATTAAGGAAGAAAGATATTTGATAGGAAAGAAGGAGCAAACCACACCAGAGCACCTGCCAATCATCCCCGAAAGTTGAAAGAGGAAAAAAAACAACCCAAAATAAATATAATTAAAAAACAAAAAAAACAAAAAAACAAAAAACAACTTGAACACAAAAACTGCCATGTAGAGCCAGGAAGAAGCAAACATCTCTGACATTCACACAGAAATCAAAGAGACAATATAAAAGTAGGATGACTTTCGCGTGAAGCTCTCCAACCACAAGCATGGAAGAACAGTGCTACTAGTACTAGCAGTACGGCATTTGTCTAAAGCACAGCCTATTTAACACTTTGCCATCATATTTGGGGGAAAATCCAAAGAAACTGGGTGGTGAACATCCCCAGTCGGTGAGATGAGGCGACAAAGTGTTACACCATTTCAAGGGAGACACAAAAATTAAAACAGACACAGCTGAGTGAGTTTCATTCTAATCATACTCCCACTGCGACAATCATTAAAAATTTTCTCCAGCTCATAAAACCCCCCCCCATCTATGACCAACAGCCGAGCAATTTTTCTACTTGAGTTTTATTCCTCACCAAATACACAAGAAATCTTGTTCAGTGCATAATTTTCTATCAGATGTGCCAGAACTAATAACTTAACAAGACAAATCACTATACTATAGGTATATATTTTTCTTAGAAGCATAAAAAAACAACTGCCAACTGAGAAGAGATAAGCCTGTATTATAACACTGTTATAACAGAGGCCCTCAACATAAGCTGACAGTAATCACATAGAAGACACCACTGACCCATTTGTTGCAAGACCCGCGGGTCCATCATCTTGGCCATCTGCTGGTTCAGTTTTGTGATCTGACCCTGGTTCACATTCCTGTTCATGTCACCGCCTGTAGAAAAAACCCCCATCAAGTTAGTTCTTTATACATCCCCATAAATAAACAAGTGGAAGACCATAATAATTCATCTTTAAGTAAGTGGAAGAATTTATAATATATCTTTAATAAGTGGAAGAATTTATAATATATCTTTAATAAGTGGAAGAATGTATAATATATCTTTAATAAGTGGAAGAATGTATAATATATCTTTAATAAGTGGAAGAATTTATAATATATCTTTAATAAGTGGAAGAATTTATAATATATCTTTCATAAGTGGAAGAATTTAATAATATAATTCATTAAGTAAGTGAGTGGAAGACCATAATAATATAACAAACTAGCTCAGACTTGAAAATCATGCTGAACATGAGGTGTAAAAATGACACTTTTAACTCCCTAACCTTGTCTTTTAGATGCTAGGCAAGAGACTCTTCACTAAAAATCTTCCAATTTTGAATCCTGCGTCATTAACATTTATATGACTTCATGCCTAAAAAGAACAAAAACATTTTTTAAAAAATATATGTTCGAAGAGATCACAGTAACCTACCCTTAAAGAGTCCCCGGATGCCTCCCATTTTCTTGACCATCTGGGCAAACTTCTTGTACTGAGTGAGAAGTTCGTTGACCTCACGAGCCGAGACACCAGCTCCCCTCGCCACACGATTCACTCGGCCTTGGCTGCGAGAGAACAGTTTCTCCCCCTCCAAGCTGTCCAGTTCTGAGGAAAGCAGTACAGTACAGTCAAAGTCAAAGCCAAGAAAAATGAACTTCTTCTTGATTTTCTTCAACAAAAGAAATGCTGAAAACAAGCTCCATAAAAAAGAAATTAGTGCCTGCGTTAACACTAAATTTAACTTGAGACAAAATTCTCAAATATATAGAGAGAAATTAACTTATACCTTGAACGAAAAAAAATTAGGGAGGGGCGGGGGTAAAAGAAATCAGAACAAAAAAAGAAACTAGAGATGCAAAATCTATTACTTCATTTTCAGCAGTTTTAAGCCTTATTTAGAGAAACTAAGAGAAATGTTATCCTCTCAAATATCCACAAATATATATTTTTTTTTTACTGAACTAGGCTGTCATAGTCCAGCAAACAGTCACGACATCAATCACTTTGGTTAAGGTATCAAAGTGAGCTATAAAAACATGAAATCTACATGTAGACATCTATGGTAATAAAACAAAAGACAGAATTTCCCTAATCCTTTTTGACGTCTTGCTACTTGTGGCGTCGGTGGCCTAGTGGTTATGCTCTCGGACTCGCAACCGTAAGGTTCGAATCCCGTCAGGGGCCCAACGTTGTGTCCTTGGGAAAGGCACTTAGCACAAATTTTCCTCACTTCACCCAGGTGGAAATGGGTACCCGGCTATAGACAGTCAGTTTGATAGTGTTTGAGCGCGTGAAATCCGCAGCTTGCACTGTATGCTTCCGCGGAAGCTGAGAATGTTTCTGGGTGTTCTCAGAGGGTCTGCTGGGGTAATAATAGTTGTAAAGCGCATAGAGCATGCTCTTGAGCATGGATATGTGCTATATAAATGCAATTATTATAATAATTATTATTACTTTCTGAACTTGCATAAAAGATTGAGTTGCATCGTTACCTCTATTTGGATCATATTTGACAATGAGGCAAAAGACCCTGTCCCCGACTCCCAACAGATGTTTCTAGATTTGTTTTTTTCCGGGGACTTTTAACGTCTTTCCGCCCACCTGAGGAGAATGTTTACAAAGACTCCCTGCCTCAAAGAGAGCCATACGGTGATAAACCATACTATGGGCAGATACGTGTTTAAAGAAAAAGCTGCCAAATGCCTAAGACCGGTCTGAAAAATTCTCTTTCTCGAGTAGGATCAAAGCAAGTAATTAAATATTAGCAGAAAAGAATAAACTTGGTGATACAAAAAGTAATAAAAGGAGTGCCAAGATAGTATAGAGGTCAGAAAAGGAAAAAGGAAGATGTAAAGAACTATCTGAGAGATACTCCAGGAGCAGTCGACAAGACATCCCGCTATCTGCACAGGCAAAGAGATTGAGCAAAAGAAGACAGTAACAACGTTACCCTGGTCATTCATACTGTCCATGATTGTCATCAATTTTTTCAGGCGAGCCTTCGACTCCTGTTCACTGCCCTTGGTCATAAAGTCTGAGCTGAATCCTGGGATCATACCCTGTGATATGAATGTTTTAAAAGAAAAACAAATTCTAGTTTTAGTTTTAGTAAACATTTTAAGGCACTTGCAACACACTAAGGTCATTAAAATGCTGAAGATTAAAGGTGTTAGTGTTAACAGAAGGTAACATACAAAAAAAAAAGAGGGAGGAGAGAGAAGCTTAATAGATTGATAGGAAAGAAAGATCTGATGGAATTAGAAACTAAGTCATCCACTCACCATTGGCTAGCAAATATTGGTGGAAAAGAATCCATGATTTAAAAAAGACCCCCCCCAAAAAAACAACAACAACAACAAACAAACAAAACAAAAACCAAAACAACAACAAAATGAAACAAACAACAAAAAAGCCCCAAAAATTAAAATAAACAAAGAAATAAAACCTGAGAGAGATGTCAAAGAAGCAAGACCTGCCACTAGCACCCTTAACCCACTTTTGAAAGGCACAATGAAAATACAAGAACAAAAAAAATTAACTTCTAAAATCATATCAACATAAAACCAACAAGGGGAATTAACACTCTCTTGTCTTCTTCACATACAAATTTCAGTTATAAAAACTAACCAATTGCATGCATCACAGGACAACATATCGTTGCATTTTATTATTTTTTATGCCAACAAAATCATTCGCAGAAAGAAATAACTTAATTATAAATGGTCCCACAATGGTAAAACAGATTCATTTCAATACTATAACAAATAAATGGAATGTTGTGAATTTTTGTAAATTAAAATGTTTATTTCTACGCTCTATTCCTATAATAGACTTAAAAAACAACTGAACTAACAATGGAAAAAAAATCTTGAATAAAAATAAATCATAAATTTGTTTCTTAAAGGGTGAATTACTTACCATAATTTGACTGAAAGGTCCCATTTTCATGATGTTCTGGAATTGTTCGTACATGTCTCTCAAGGTAAACTGACCTAAAAATGAAGGAGGGGAGGTAATCGATACAAATGTACTCAATATTCAAGGGATACAACTTTACACGGTAAGGGAGATAATAACCCCCAAAATATCAGTAAAGGCACAAAGCGCAATCTGTTCTGGTTCTATAAGTGAACGAGGAGTTATCCTCCTCCCTTTACCTTGTACACATTGAATACACTATAGAGAAGAGCTATCAGTATCAAATTTCAAGCTTTACAATTAACCCAAGGAATTTCTGTATTTGATATTCAACCCATCAAAATCAAAACGGATCTCTATACCCAGGTGGTAGGGGTTATAAACGAACACCCCCACTACTACTTGTAGCGATCTAAGCAACCTGACATACAGGCTACATACTGGAGCTACGTGCTCCCCTTTGCCTGTGGGAAAGTCCCCAGACCAGCGGTAGAAAGTACCCTCTGAGGAGAGTCATCCAGGTCTCTATAGAGTCTGTATACGGCTGGGAGGTTCTCTGAACCGAGCTAGGCTTGAGACTGGTTATAGTCATAGCATAGTTATGCAGGTGGCCGGCTTCTGCTTCACTGACACAATGGGGCTTATGTCTTAGATAGCTCTCTTTTTGCTAGACTTTTGTTAAACTTCCTAAGTCTCCAATAACTTAAAAATTTTGTAGATTTTTTTTTCACTGGCATAATGGCTTCTCGAGAATTTTGTAAATTTTAAAAATTCCACTTTCATCTGAAATGAACCCATAACACTGAATTCCACTGCTAGAGTGTCACTTTAGTTAAATACAGTTTAGCATGTACATGGCGAAATTGGCAGGACCTGAAAATTTTCTTGTAAGTACAAAAATCTAGCAATGCACATGTTTTAAATATAAAGAATATATGACATGAATAAAAGTGAAAATTCAGAACCTGAAAATCTGTTAGCTATGTGCGTGTTTTGCAAGGTACGTGTCCGCTTTGTGATTGTTTGTTATTATGTGTGTGCTAGACAGTTCTTAACTCTTCATGTCCAGTGAGCCGGTGGGAGCGGCTTGGTGTTAACTGGGTTTAGCCCGGCTAACTACACTAGCCTTCATTAAATACACATGAAAGTATTATTTCATGACATCAACCAAAATTATGGTCGCAAATGCCGAAAATAGGTCTTTTTCTGTTTGTACTTTCATTTTGTAGCGTTTGTGCGGGCGCATATGCTAGATTTGACGGCTTGTTTCCCAACAGCTGATTTTCTGTGTCTAATTTGTTTGTGTCAATTACGGAGATTACCTTGGCTGAAGATTGCTCCTGAAATGATTATAGTGGCAGTTTTCTTTTTGGATCATACTGAGACAAAATTTTCGTTCAATTTGGGTATCATAAATCTAGATCTAGATCCATACCTCCCTAATTCAAGATCCAAAAATGTGTAAAAGAAAAGACGATCTTGAGTAATTTGAGACAAAAAAGTGTAATCACACACACACAGGTAGATTCTAGATTTCTGGATGCTCTGACTTGCAACAAATTTAGCGCAGTCATTAAGAAGAGGCCTGATCCGTGTGTTGCTTGTTAATAACGGGCCTATCGCATATCATGCACACAGCACTGCAAAGCGAAGGGGAGATAATTCCAAATCCACCTGGCGACAAGCCCCATCCAAGCCTGAGCAGTACTTCCATCATTTGGTGTAATTAATTAACATTTTACAGACATCGAACTGGCTAGTTTGTGGGAGGGAAAAATGGGTAATTTTCTACACATTTGTACTTTAGTAATCAGGGCCATTTTTGTGTAATAATTACACAAAAAGTGTAAAACTAGGGAGGTATGTAGATGTTGGATCTTACTGAGGCTTTATTCAGGTTAGTTCATCATAATAATTATGTAGGCCTATGTGAATGTGACTTTTTTATATGTAGTTATTGTACACTTTATCTTACACCGGGATACTTCAAAGAATTACTCAAAATTACTTTGAAAATGTGCAAAATGACAGTTTTCATATTTAGGTATATTCAAACAAAACTATAAATGTAAGCCTTTGATTTAACAAAGTGTGTATATATTAGACCTGAATGTGAGCCTCAACCAGATTGTATGAAAATTTTGCGCATACCACCCCCCAAATAAAACAATCGATTTCCCTCCATAAGAGCTTTAGTGGGTGTCATAAAAGGAAGAACTTCCGTGTAACGAGTGACCACCTTAACAACACAATAAAGAGACCTAACCCTAACCCTAACCCAAACCCTAAGCCTAACCGAAACCCTAACCTTAACCTTACACTTAAAAGTAGCCTTTTACTCTACTTTGTCTCATTTTGGTCGCTCGTTACGAAAGTCCTCCCTCATAAAATAGCAGCACTTGTAGAGGTACATGATGGGGGCATGGGCCCCCAAAAAAGAATCTGCAATGGCCCTTTAGAAATGCAAAAAAAGTTAGCAAAAGTCCAAAATGTAAAAAAAACTACACCCCAAAACAAACAAGGAGCATAATGGCCTACATTGCAATGTAGGGTTTGATACAATTTATAACACAATAGAATTGGAATACATGAATCCTCCATAAATATAGTAATCTAAATAAATCTAGATCTATATTCTAGATCTATATCTAGTAGAGCAAGTGAATAGGAATAGAAATAGAAATTCTAGGCCTTGAACGAAATCCGCATCCGAACAGAGGGACTCAGCTGATGAGCCTTCTAATAATTTACGTACTTGATGAAATGCTGTTTTACCAACAACATTACAGCAAAACCTATAATAGGGTTAGGCATTATAGAATTGGAATAATCCTCCATTTACGTCTATAATGTTCTATACATAAACCTAGATAGACCTGCATGTGAGCCTCAACCAGATTGTCTGAAAATTTTGCGCACCCCCCCTCCCCCCAAAAAAGCCTTTGTGGGTGTCATATGGAAGGACATCCGAGTAACGAGCGACCACCCCAACAAACACAATAAAGAAGAGACCTAACCCTAACCCTACCCCCAAAAAGAACCTGCAACGGGCCTCATGTAAAAAGGCCAAAACAAGTCCTAAATGAAAAAAAAATATTTTTAATTTAAAAAACCACACTCCAAAACAAACAAGGAGCATATAGATCTAGATCTAGATTCTGGATCTATATATGGCTTACATCTACATTGCTATAGGGTTTGATACAATAAACAATAGAATTGGAATATGAATCCTCCATATAGATCTAGTAATCTAAATAAATCTAGATCTAGATCTCGTAGAACAAGTGAATAGGAATAGGCCTTGAACTAGAAATCCGCATCCGATTCCGAACAGAGGGACTCAGCTGAGTCTAGATTCTAGATCTAGATCTAGATCTTTACTAGATCTAGATGTAGATTCTAGATCTCTAGAATCTAAATAAATAAATAATTCACCCACCTGATGAAATGCTTATTTTTACCAATGTAAATATTACAGCACAACTTATGATATGGTTTGACACAATAGAATTGGAATATGAATCCTCCATTGAGGTCTATAATGATCTATAAAAATCTAGATCTAGATTCTAGATCTAGATTCTATTAGAACAAGAGAGTTGGACTTGAATGAATCCACACGATCTGAACAATTGAATTAGTCAACAAACGAAATTCAAAATGGCCGCTCGAGCACGAAACTGCAAGTAGATAATTTAAGTTGTTGTCCTTTTTCGTATTCGCATTTCTACTTAGGTTCCGACAATTATGTCGGAAACGCTGACGTCGGCAGTCGGCGGTGCGCGCGTCGGCGGTCGGCACGAAAACGAAAGTGCCGACGAAGCCGACGGGAGAAAAGGGGGTCGCTGGCAGTCGGCCAGGCCTCGCACTACCCACATTGACTGATACAGGCGGGCCTAGCGATAGCATCGGCCGGTTCGCAGGTCGGGTCGCGATTGTTGGATTTCAGACGATTGTCGGCAAACATGCAGGTCTAACCTAGATCTAATAGAACAAGTGAGTAGGCCTTTTGACATGATCAAAAGAATTGGTCAACAGACGAAATTCAAAATGGTCACTCGAGCACGAAACTGAAAGTAGATCTAACTTAGGTCGTCGTCCTTTTTCGTATTCGTATTTCTACTCAGTTTCCGACAATTATGTCGGAAACGCCGACGTCGGCACGAAAACGAAAGTGCAAACCAAGTCGACTGGAGAAAAGGGCGCGCTGGCAATCGGCTAAACCTCATACTTTGCACATTGCCTAATACAGGTGGCCTAGCGATAGCATCGGCCAGGTGGTGGGTCGGGTCGCGATCATCGGATTTCAGACGATTGT